AGAGTCCATTGGTGAAAACTGTTTGCATATCTGTCTCCCTTGCTCAAGCCCGGGAACTCTAACCTTTGACAGCCCAGCTCTGGTACCATGCCTAGTTCAGGGGCTGTCAATGAGAGTTTGAAAAAGGAGGCGGGAAGTAGGACGATGGTGGGAAGGAGGACTGAGGAAGCCAATAGCAGAGGCCCCTGTGCTATGAGCAGAGGGCACTGGAAGACATCAAGCAGCCTCTGCCCCTCTCTGTTGCTCAGGTCCAGGGAGAGAGCTGTGGGTTCTGCTGGCCTAAATCCTAGGAGTGTTTCTACCAATCCTGACCAGCCTTTTACAGGGCACTTGAGACCAGAGAGCCCAGGAAACAAGTTGGGTGGAGCCCATTTCCCAAGTGGGGTCCTGGGCTATTGGGGCCAAGAGGCCAGAGTCATAAATCAAGACTGGGTCCCTTTAGTGACTTCCCTGGCTGTCCACAGGTTAAGAATCCACACTTCCACTGCAGGGTGCATGGGTTCAATGCCTGGTCAGTGAACTAAGATCATCCATGCTATGCAGTGGTATGGTCAAAAAAAAAAAAATCATAATAAAAGACTGGGTCCTTTTTGAGGAACTGGGAGTTCAGAAGGGAATGGAGAAGTACTCAGAAATCTGATTCCAAGCTAGTCCCCTGTGCCCTGGGAAAGGAGGAAGCCCAGAACATCGCCACGGGCATCACCCCTGTGTAGGCAGGCATCAGGGGCTGAGGAAAGAAGGTCTGGCCCACGCTGGGTCAGGAGAGCCAGACAGAATGGGAGCTGACAGAGGCTGGGCTGGACCAAGGCAGGTGGCAGCATCCAGGAGAGCGAGGGAGTCTGCTGTGAGTAGAGAGTAGCCTTTGTATCATAGGCCTTCTGGCAGCGGGGTGGCGACGGATAGTGTCTGACATGCTCTCGTGGCCAACGGCTTAAAAACCAGGCCCTGTTCTGGCCAGAGTCTAGCAGCCACACACACCTACCTTGACTGTGGTGTAATGTGCTCCAGGGTATCAGGTAGGGGCTGATCTTGCATTTCTGGCAAATTGGAGCAGTAGAACAAAGCCACGGAGGCCGAGAGGGAGCAGAGAATGATGGGTAGGATGGCAATGTTCTGGTGGATGAGTGTCACAGACAAGATGCCTCCAGCCACCCAGATCAGAGACACTAGACCCAGACCTGTCGCCCTGGAAGGGGAGGTGAGAGTTCATTTGGAGGCTTTTTGGGCCCAGCAACTGGACTGGGTGGGAAAAGTAGCTTCGCCAAATCCCACACCCTCATCTCCACCCTGCCCAACTCACTGTGCAACCTTGGAGAATTTAGTTACTTGTTATTGCAGAGGTAGGTAGTAATTTTTTATGGAGCCAGGAGTGGGAGAATTATAAGGCTCAAACACCATAGTATGGGTGTGTGAGGGTGGGTGGGGAGGGGGATACTACAGCCATCATCAAGGGTTCCTCTGGAGAAGGGCCTGAACCCCAGAGTGGCCCAGACACAGTTTAGACAGTCAGTGGCAGTCAGGGACTAGAGTCAAACAGCCTAGGTCCAAGTCCCACTTGTGCCACCTGCTATGTCTGACCTTGAGCCAGTGTCCTTGCCACTCTGATTTCATGTCTGAATGAGGGGTGATGATGGTGTCAGGGGGATATTGCGGGTGAGAGTTAAATGGAGTAGCCCATGTAAACTGCTTGGCAGGGTGCCTGTCACCCGATGAATGCCCAATCTCAGCTGCCGTTATTCATCCTATTATTGCCCACTCCCGACCACACCCCGCCCCCACCATCATCCACCAGGCCCCCCTACCTGATGATGGTGGGGAGGAGTTCAGAAGTGTAGATGTAGAACATGGTGATGGAGGCGGCCAGATTGAACTCTCCCAGCAGGGTTATCAAGATCACGAGGGATTTCAACTCTGTGGCCAGACAATGCGGCCACCTGAGTCTGCGGCCACCCTCCCCTTGGGGCAGGCGGGGGAGGCCTGCCCACTGGCCCTCCCTCAGTCCCCCTCAGAAGGCATCTGGACAGTCCACCCCTACCAGCTGGTCAGCAGACTCAGAGGAGGGTCAGTCTGCTAGAGGGAATAAGTACATCAGCTGGGAGAGTTGGTCAGTGGAGTGGGACCCCCATGGGCTCTCAGGCCATCACCTACTGTGTGGACTCAGCTCCTGCATCCCTGCCTCCAGGCTGTCTGTGATCTGCCACATGTTCACCCAGATCCAGCTTCCCCCGCCCCACCGCCTGCTCCTTCTGGAGCATCCATTCAGCCCCAGGCCGGCACCTTGTGTGCCGGGCTGCCTGCTCAGGGCTCTCCCCACTTCTCCTTCATTCTCTGCCAGGTAGAGAGGGGCAAGGGGGCATTTAGTCCCTGGGGCCTGAGTGGCTAGACATTCCAGGATGCCCAACTCTGGGGAGCCAGATTATACATTGGAAGAGGCAGAAATGATCTTGGGAAACCCCATTCCTCAGGTCTAGGGGAGTTGAACCCCCCAGCTCACTGACCTGGGGCCAGGAGTTCCAGCTCCTCCCCTACTAGCCTCTGCGGGACCCTGCCCCAGGCCTCCTCCCCGTGCTCAACTCCGGGCCTGGCTTCACTTGACTCTGGGATGAAATTGGAGACCTAGTTTTATTTACTGGGGGTTTTCCTCCTAGTCTGTCTGGTTTCAGATAGCTCTGCTTAACTCCTTATAGACCCGCATTTTTAAAAAGCCACTGAACAATGGAAACTGAATAACGGCTTTGTTTCTTCTGTTTTGTTTTAGCCAGTCAACACTGCCAACAGCAGGAGAGGGAGAGAAAGGGTCCAGGTCAAGACACACAAAACTGCAGCCCCCAGGGAGAGTGAGGGAGCTCCATGAGGCAGATCCTGGACACAGCCTCCCCAACCCTGGCCCCAGAGGCTGAGGGGGCTCCTGTGGTAGCCATTCTGATCAGGTGAATGAACGCTGACATCTTAAGGTCCACATCCTCAGCCCTGCCACATTCTTCCAGCCTTGTGACCTGGGGCATGTGCATTGTTCTAGGACTCTTTGCAATTTTGAAAATATTGAGAGTCCCCCCTCCTGTCTCCTTCCCTGGTTCTGAATTGATAGGGCATGGGGCACGGGGCCCCCTTGGGAATGAGTGGCCTCCATGCAAGTATTGTTTCTGAGAGTTTGGCCCAGTGTTAGGCTCAATCTGCAGTACACAGCTGAGTTTTTCCTGGTGAGGCTACGGATGACATAGGGCTGGGGTAGCAGTTGAAGACTGCCTCTGTTCACATTTAATTATTGATGTGGGCAGGACTCGAGGGGAAGACGGCTGCCCGCTCTCCTGCCCAAGGGCGATTCCTCTGAACAGCACCTCTTCCCCTCCCAGGGCCCTGGGACCTTCCAGTGCCTTGTCCTGGGAGGCCCCTCTTCACCCAAGAGGGCAGTGCTCTAGAGAATGGTCCCTTCTCGGGAAGTGCTAGGGCCACTATAGGGCTGGCGGGCTGTGGATGCAAGAGGCTGACTCCCAGGGTGTTGTGTTGGCTGGATAGGGCCAGGAGGCACGAGGTAGGGATTCGAGGAAGCTAGAGGGTTGGGGGGGGTGCTATCAGGGAGGCGGAAAGAGGGGTTGTGGAGGCTGTACCTGACGGGAGCATAAGGCTAAGGAAGCACATGGTGGCTCCTTGGAACAAAGTCATAATCAGGGTTCCTCTCCTCTTCAACTGCTCGAGAAGAAAGATGCAGCAGAGCCGGGCGGGCACCTCCATCATGCCAGGGATCACTTGTGAGAGGTAGATGTTCATGCCCAATTCCCTTGTCTTTAAGCCCAGCGTGTAATAGTTGCAACCGATAGCAAACCTGGAATTCATTACCGGAAGAGAGACACTCTCCAAGAAAGGCACACAGAAAGCCAGGAATGAAGACAGGCAGAGGAGAGCGTGGCAGGGTGGCCGTGGAGGACAGGAACAAACATGGAGATCTGGGTTCTGTGGGCTGCACCAGGGTTCTCAGGTCTTGCTCCCCCCACTGGCCACCCAACATCTATTTTCTCCCTGGATCCCTGAACTGCAAGCCCATTTGCAGTCCCCACCGCCAGCCCGGGGTACTCACCATATGCTGCACATCACCAAGGTTAACTTGCGGAGGTACCTGTTGCTATAGAAGTCCAGGATAGAGGCTGAAGCCACCTTCTTTCCAGGCAGTTGCAACTACAGGACAAGCAGGACCAGCCACATGCAGGGCCAAGACCCCAGCTTGCTCCCCGCCAGCAGGACTCACGGGGTCCCCTGCCCTCTGCCTCCCAGGACCAGCCTGGCTTCTGGCTTTTCCCTGGCAGGGTTCCATTTTGCTGTCACCATTCTCCTCGAGCAGTGGGCTAGGGACACCCTCTGGGCCGAGGTCCCACCTGAAAGGATGAGGAGGGAAGAGGCCCCTATGTAGCCCTCCTCCCTGGGTCCCAACTCCAGGCCAGAGGTCTCTTACCTTATCCAGCAGACTTAAAGGAATGGTCTTTTTGTTCACAGCAGCTGCATAGCACAGCATTTGCTTGGCCTCCTCCAGCTTCCCTTTCATTATCAGCCACCGTGGGGACTCTGGGAGAATCCTGCATGGCCCATCCCTCTCTTACCCATCACTCCAAGATGCCCCGCAGACCCAAGTTGGCCCCATCCCAGCCTCAGCTGTGGACATTCTATTCCAGCATGAGGTGACTCAGATGTTGCAGGCTTTGAAGGTGACCATCATCCTCGGACTTCCATGCCCACCCCTGCCCAAGCCATTCACAGTATCCACCACTGCTCAGTGACACCCCAGCCACTGGCTGCTTCTGCACCACAGCTTCTGTCCCCCTCAGCCACCTCTAACAGCTATTTTCTACCTTCGGAGTTGTCCCCACCTGCCCAGACATACTGAGGACACATCCCTTTGCATCCACATCCTCTGTTAGAGCCTCGTTCTCGTAGTTGGGGATTCTCCTGTTTCCTATCTCCTAATAGCCTGGAGAGTACGGGAGGCAGAACCCCAGTTTTGACCGCAGGGCCCAGCCCCTTCCTGGGTGAATGGAGGTCTCTACTCGGGCCCACTTCCTCCTGGTCACATCTCCCATTGCCTTTGACCTCAAAATAACCCTAGGTCCTTGATTCTTCCTAATCCTTCCAAGTTGAAGAACCTACACAGCTTAACATTTAAAGCACTTCTTAAGTGTCCTTATTTTATCAGTCTGTTAATCCTCTGCCCAAACCCAGATCTAGTATGACTATTCCCATTTATTCTCAGCCTCAGGGCCTAGTGGCTTGCCCAAACTCATAGAGGCAGAGCTAGTATGAACCCCAGTCCCCTGGAAAGGCACTCTTAACAAAACTTTGCCATCAGCCCCTGCTGATTTTTTGTAACTGTTCCTCTTCCTGCCCCAGCCTGGACTCTGTGGCTGGTCACTGTACACACACACCCAGGGCTCTGGAGACGACTTCATCCCCTCTGCCTGCCCCTGCTCCTGTTCCCTCCAGCCCCCCAAGGGGCCAGCAAGCAGTTACCCTGTTTTCCTCCTCCATTCTAAGGCTACAAAACTGTTCTCAAGTCATTAAACTGGGATGTCTCCAGAAAGATGGGAGATTGACCACATGCCTACTAAAAAAGAGGAGTGAAGGACTTTCTTGGTGGTCCAGTGGCTAAAATTCCATGCTCCCAATGCTCGGGTTTGAACCCTCATAAGGGAACTAGTTGCTCAGTCATGTCCAAATCTTTATGAGCCCATGGACTACAGCCCACCAGGCTCCTTTGTACATGGGATTCTCCAGGCAAGAATACCAAAGTGGTTGCCATTTCCTTCTCCAGGGGATCTTCTGGACCCAGGGATAGAGCCTGATCCCACATGCTGCAACTAAGAGTTTGCATGCCTCAAGGAAAAGGGAAGATCCCGCATGCTGCAACTAAGACCTGGCACAATCAAATAAATTAATAATAATTTTTTTTTAAAAAGAGTGAAAAAAGATACCAACCCTCACGTAGGAGAAGTGGGAAGAAAGATTTAGCAAGCACATGAAGCCCAGAGTGGATGGGGTGGGCCAACTGGGTAGGCAATGCCCCCACTGCACAGCTGGAGTAGCGAGGGGTCAGAGAACCTCACTCCTGGCTTCCGAGGACCCTGGAGACTCCAGTCCTCGGATGTGGAGTAGTTGGCACTGAAAGCATAGGAGAGGCTGAAACTAAGGAGGACCCCGTGAGGACTCCGGGTGTGGAAACCTTTCTGTGTCCTCCGTTTCTTGTTTGTAGGGAACAGACTCCAACCTCCATAAGTGTCCCTGAATTCCAATGGACTAATCAGGGAAGGAGCAGCCAAGAAACAGCAGTGCAGATGTGGGGCAGGGTCCTGGCTCAGCCTCAAGGGATACACATGACAATATCTTTTGAGTTCTTCATANTTATCTGAAATTTCAGCTGAATTCCTAAAGCTGGTAAAAATGTCTGATAACCTCACCTTCTAAAGAGAGGCATTACCACCTTCAGGATAGCACTTATTATTTAAAAAAAAACAAACAAACCATGGCCCGGTGGCCATCTTCCTTTGCCAACTAGAAGGGCTAGAAATATCCTGTTCGTGGAAGTGAGAGATTCTTGAATCTCTTCCCCTCCCCATGTTGCTCATCTACTCATGAAAGACACAGTCTTCAAGTCATCAACTCAAGCCTGATGAAAGGCACAGTCTTGGAGAAAGGGAGTCTGTCCTTACATTCTGTGGCAAGATGATCATTGCTTCACCCAGCACTGCCAAACCCTTAACACGGTGATTTCAGCTTACTCCCTCTCTGCCTCCTCTTCTGTTCCTCTCCTTTTGCCACCTGGGTGACTCTCTTTATTTCAGTGCCTCCTCACTCCTCAACCTCCTCTGGCTCCACAGAATCCACCTCAAGGTCACCAAGACCAACAGATGCTTCTCACCTTTCTTGCCTTCAACTCTGACCATTCCCCAATCCTTAAACTCTTGCCTTTCAACATTTTTTTCTTCTGGTTCTCTGACCACCTCTCTGACATCTCTTTGAGGATCTCCTCTGATGACACTAGTGCTGGGGTTCCAGAGGCTTTGCCCCTGGAGAGCCTTCTCATCTCATACACTTTCTCCCAGGGAAAATCCCATGCACTCCAACCCTTCACGGACTCCCCATCCTCCTAGTCTCCAGCCCATCAGACCCATCCTTGTGCATGTCCTGTATTTGTTTGCTCACCAGATATAGCAGATGAGGGGGAATACAGGTGTTCCGCCCACCAGAAACATTAGCCGCCAGTGGGGAAGGCTGTAGGCAAGTCCTGTCAGGAAAACGACTCCCATGGAAAAAAAGCAGTGTCCCAGGATGAAGGCATGGGCCCGATGCATGCCCATTAGCCACTCAGTGACTATGCAGAAGACAAAATCATAATCAGCTCAGGGTTCACAAGGCTGCCCTCACACCCAGCCTTCTGAGATGCCCCAGCTCTGCTCAGGGACTGGCGTTCTTCTGCCTGCTTGGGATCTGGGTCCAGAGACAGCACTTCAAAGCCACAGAGAGTGCCTCAGTGTGCCCAGGGCACATTGCAGGCCCCTCGCCTGAGCTCCCAACCACAGAGGTAGCCTCCACTTTGTTCTCAACCTGGCAGTTCCCTCTGAACACCTCCGGCCTGACCACACACCTATCACCGAGAAGGCCTGGTCCTGGGCACAGGACTTCACATGTGGCCTGACACACGCAAGGTGTCACTGTCCTTGTCTTGACTCTTAACGCATCACTGCTTTGGCCACTTAGAGCTCAGCCTCTATGGAGGACCCAGTTCCCTCTGGCTGGGACTCTGGAAATTTCCCAGTGAGAAGTGGGAGCGGAGTTCCCCAGCAGGTTTCATACAAGGCCACGGCAGCAATAAATGTATGGGTGCGTGGGAGTTTTGCATCACAGGTTGGGGGGTGGGGCGGGGCAGAAATCCCAGCTCTTTCACGTAACTACCATGTGACTCTGAGCAAGTTGGTTAACTTCCCAAGGTTCAAATATCAGCTAAAGGAATAACAGAATAGCCCCTGCTGAATAGACAGCTGCCAGGATGAAAGGAGTCAGTACGTGCTTACTAGCTACCTGGGCTTTCTTAAGAGTTGAATAAGCATAAGTCATGTAGGTGAAGCAAGGAGTGGAAAGGGGGAGATGTGTGGGGTACCAGGGGGATGATGGTACAAGGGCAATGTGGGCACGGATTTCCTGGCATCCCTAAGCCTCCACTGGCTGCCAGGTTGGGCCACAACCCCAACTGTCCGGTGGGTTCCCAGCAGGTGTGCGCCGGCCCCACCCCCTTCCCAGCGCCCCGCCTCCAGCGTCCCGCCCCCAGCGCCCCGCCTCACGTAAAGCCGAGCTGCCAATGGCGTAGCCCATGACGGCCTGGGACACACAAAAGCGGAAGAATATATACTGGTTAAAGCTGCTGACAAAGGCTGTCCCGAAGCCGAAGATGGCCAGCTCCAGCAGCGCCAGCAGGATGGTGGGGTAGCGGCCCAACCTGCAGGAGTGGAAGGGCGCTTGCGCCGAGACCTTGGATCTCTGCGGGTGGCCCCACTCCGCACTCAGGACCAGATCCTGAGCCGTCCACCCGCCTCTGGAGTGCCCCTACCCTTGTCTCCCTTAATTTGAGACTCATTGGTTCTGAATGGCCACGAAGAAGAAGGAGGGATGTCCCAGGGCCCAAAGGAAAGACTTACTTGTCAGTTATGAACCCGAAGATGACAGCCCCCGTCAAGAGCCCAGCCAAGAACACGGTATACACGATTTCGTTGCTTGTTTCGTTGCCACACACCAAGTCAAACTGGGGATTATATGCAGGGATTGGCCACAGGCCTCCACCCAGGGCCTTCTAGGTCCAGAGACTGAGCCTCCACCCAGGGTGGGCTTTTAGGCAAAAGGGGCCAGGGACAATGGCAGGTAACTTGTGTGCAGCAAGGCGTCATCTGTGTTACCTCTGCATCCCACCTACATCTAGCAGACTCTAGGAATTAGGCCTGGGGAGAGAGACTGGAGACACAGGCCAAGGAATGGGATAGATGGACAGGTAACTGAGCGAAGGCCAGAAAGGCCAAAGACTCTTTCCCAAATACAGATGCTAGGCTCCTGGCTAGAGAATCAGATTGGGCAGGCCTATGCTGTGAAAGGGCCAGGTAAGAAATTGTTAGGCTGAGAAATTGTTAAGAGGTACCAGATCAAAGCTGTTCTTTCCCCAGTTCTCTAACTTTTGTGATTTCAGAAGGCGGAGCCACAACTCCAGCAGTTTCCTGGACAGATGGCAAACACTGCCACCTGCCCCTACTCCCCAGCCTACTCTAGCTTCCTGGCTAAGATCGGTAAGCCTAGGACTGGGCAGAAGGAATCCTGTTTCTGCCCTGGCCGTGCCTCTGCGGGGTGACCTCGGGCCGAATGTTTCACCTTCGTGGGTCTCAGTTTTCCCCCCACTGTTCAGTGAGGGTGAAGGCACATCTCTGGGGACCTGGGGTAGCTTCAGGCAACTCAGGACAAGGCATACCTCATTTATCAGTGACCGCCTCTTGCTCTCAGGATAGATCCACCCATTTTGACATGAGTCTGTGTGATTGAGGTCAAACTGGATTGTAGAATCCAGATCCCAGTCCACAGGCACATACATGAGGCAAGTCAGGAAACTGCCATTGGGTGCACGGGGCAGGGTCAGATTCATCTGCTCAGCCTCTGACAGGTTTCTGTCCACTGCCAGTATCCAGCTGGTGTTGCAATAGGGCTTTTGGGGTGCGAACATGAAGATATCAGCAAACATGAAGAAGGAGGACAAGAAGTTGGGAATGAAGCTGAGGGCCACCAGCCTCCGCTGGAATGTGCCAAACTCCCCCACCACATCCATGATGTTGGCTAGTTTATCATCCTGGGCATCGATGGCCCTCAATCTCTGTAATAACATATCCAGAGAACAGCAGCGGGGGCTTTCTGCACCGTCGTGTTGGAGGTTCCTGGGATGAGGATGGGATTTGAACTCTATCTTGAAGCTCTTTTTCTTTGCCATTTCTGCAAAGAAAGGATGCAGATCAGTCTTCACTGCCACCACTTTTCAGAACATCAGAGACCAATGTGGGAGCCACTGGCCAGAAAGTGGCCTNGCCAAATGGCATTATTTGAAGTCTCACCCACAGAAGGGACATGCTGCTGGGGGCAGTGGGGGGTGGGGAACTTTTCCCAATTGGGTTCCAGATGTGCTGTCTCATGGGACTTCCCAGTGCTGTTTAAGTTTGGATGTTGGTCAAAACCTGATTTGGTGATTTGCTATTTTTATTTCTCTTTTCTTATGATGTCAATATATTGAAACTAAGTTAGATAATTTTCTAATAAATATTTGTATTATTTATTTTTATACAACAAATGACTTATTTTGTTAACAAATCCTTTGAACCTGAAAAAAAGTGAAAGCCACTTACTCATGTCTGACTCTTTGTGACCCCATGGACTGTACAGTCCCTATATATACAGAGAGAGAGAAACAGAGAGAGGAGAAATAATTAAAGACTTGTCTCATGAGATATTATAGGGTCTGGCAAGTCTGCACTTCACAGGGCAAGCCAGCAACTGAAAATTTAGAGAAGAGTTCATGTTGCAGTTTTGTTTCCAGATTCAATAGTACTTAAAACTCACAGGGCGTCTATGTTGTAGTATTGATGTCAAATTCCTTGTTCTTTGGCAAACCTGGTCTTTTCTCTTAAAACCTTCAACTGATTGGATGAGGCCCACTTATATTATGGAAGACAATTGCTTTACTCAAGTCTGACTTAAATGCTAACCACATGCAAAAAAATACCTTGGCCTCTTGATAGCAAATCTGTGCACCTTTCCTTCTCATGAGCATTCAGAGTTGAGAAGTGCAATTACAGAAAATTTGCCCAACCAATGAACAAAATTTAGTTGTTGAAGGATTCTATATATGTAGAACTTGTCTTTGTGCTCTTGTACTTTACACCATTTTAATATAGACTGTTTGACACTTAAATATACCACGTATGACAACACATATAAAAAATGGATGTTAAACAGTAAGGATAAGTGTCCACCCTCTCCACACGCACTGTTATTTCTAAACCTATAAGCTGTGGCTGCGCGGTGCAGGAGCAGCCAGCAGAGAGGAGATACCTCACGCTGAGAGAGGGCGTGGCAACTGCAGCGCAGGAGCAGCAAGTGGCAGAGAGGTGATACAACACGTCCAAAGGCAGGAGCGGTGGGTGTGAGGACATACCCCACGACCAAGGTGAGGAGCAGCAGCTTCACTTCACTGGAGCAGCCGGGAAGAGACAGCCCACGTCCAAGGTAAGTGAAACCCAAGTAAGACGGTAGGTGTTGAGAGAGGGCCTCAGAGGGCAGGCAGACTAAAACCACAATCACAGAAAACTAACCAATCTGATAACATGGACCACAGCCTTGTCTAACTCAATGAAACTAGGCTATGCCGTGTAGGGCCACTCAAGACGGACGGGTCATGGTGGAGAGGTCTGACAGAATGCGGTCCACTGGAGAAGGGAATGGCAAACCACTTCAGTATTCTTGCCTTGAGAACCCCATGGACAGTATGAAAAGACAAAAAGATGGGACATTGGAAGATGAATTCCCTAGATCGCTAGGCAACCAATATAATACTGGAGATCAGTAGACAAATAACTCCAGAAAGAATGAAGGGATGGAACCAAAGAAAAACAACACCCAGTTGTGGATGTGACTGGTGATAGAAACAAAGTCCAATGCTGTAAAGAGCAATGTTGCATTGGAACCTGGAATATTAGGTCAATGAATCAAGGCAAAGTGGAAGTGATCAAACAGGAGATGGCAAGAGTGAATGTCGACATTCTAGGAATCCACGAACTGAAATGGACTGGAATGGGCGAATTTAACTCAGATGACCATTATATCTACTACTGTGGGCAGGAATCCCTTAGAAGAAATGGAGTGGCCCTCATAGCCAACAACAGAAAGAAGACACATCATGAACAAACAGTCTTCTGTTAAGAAACAAAAGTTGTGGACAATATATTGGGAGAATTTTTTTTACTTTCTTTTTGGAGGAATTTTATACTAAAACTGACCAAATCCTTTTTGTGTAAGATAAGACATTTGAACCATTGAGATCCAAGTTGTGATTTGAAGCTTGTTATATTTTTCTCCTTTTTTCCCAGCCTACTCTCCCAGCTTCATTTGTAGTTACTCTATTCCATCTACAGAGGGTTGTGGCCACCCTGGGTTACCTAACAAAACACTATGAAGTTTCATGTTTACATTCCTGCTCTTCTTAGCTGCTGAACTTATGTATATCTGCCTGTTACATTTTTATAAGGGTGAAATGTTACCACTACTTTAATTACTGTTTTAAATAGCTTTATAATGTTGAAGAATCACTGTTTAAGATTTTTGACTCTTCTTTTCTTTAAAAGAAACACAAGTTGTTAAGCAACAAGGAAACCAGGAAGAGTGAAGAGTATCTTCAACATGTTGACAGGAAATAACAGCCAACCTAAAACTGTTTACTCAACAAAATTATCTGTCAAGAAGTAGAGTAAAATACAGTTATAGTCAAATGTTGAGGCAGCAACACATCTGATGGCACTTCTAAAGGATAAGGAGGAGGATGTGCTAAATAAAACAAAATGTATATGAAAATGCAAAATCCTTAAATAATACAAAAGTCAAGCAAATGGTTTTGGTGGAAACTGCCAGGCAGCCTAGTGGTTAAGACTCTTGAGTGTTCACTGCCAAGAACCTGGGTTCAATCCCTGATCTGGGAACTATCATCCTGAAAGCTGTGTAGCATGGCCAAAAAAAGAGAATAGTTTGGAGCAGGGATATACAGTATAGTGAAAAAGGAGTTCAGAAACTGTGTAAAAGAGGAACTCATTAATAAATAGGTCTTAAACCATTGGGGAAAAAAAAAAACAAAGGATTAGGAGGAAGAAAATTATGTCAGGACAACCTGAGATGCAGTGGTGAGCAATCAGATATTCATTGCATTAAATAGTAAAAGCTCTGTTCAATTGTGGAATTAAAATACAAGATAAAATGGTGGGTAGCAAAAATATATATTAGGATAGGTATGATCAGAACCTAGGTTATCTTAAAATTTTTCTATTGTTCAAGGTACAGGAGAAAGATGCCAACATTTAAAAGTTACTTTTTTTTTTGGCTGTGCTGCCTGGCTTTCAGGATCTTAGTTCCCCAATCAGGAATCAAACATGTGTTTCCTGCAGTGGAATCTCAGCGTCTTAACCACTGGACTGCCAGGGAAGTGCCTCAAAGTTACATTTGCATTTGATAAAAATTATAGGGATGACCACTATAATAATATAGCTAGGAAAGAGTAGTGTAAAAAGATAGACTAAAAAAAAAAAAAAAACAAAAAAAAAAAAAAAAAAAAAAAAAATAAAAAGATAGACTAAAGGAACAAACAAAACCCAAACCTCAGTCCAGAAAAAGCAAAGAAAAGAAAAAAGAAATGTAGAAAAAGTGGATTTCAATAAATGTGATTGGAAGAATGAATCAAAGTACATTGATTATCACTGGTTAGTAATGCAGAGACATGGGTTCCATGGGTTCGATCCCTGGCTGGGAAACAAGGATCCCACATGCCATAACAAGAGAAGCCCTCAAGGGTTATAACAAAGACCCCACATGATGCAACTAAGAACTGACACGGCCAAATAAGTAAATAATGAAAACCACAAAGTCCAAAAAGAATGGTCATTAAAAAATATATATATAGTTGGTTTCAGCTTTCTAAAAATCAAATTAATATGCTGTTTTTAAACAGGGCAGCCAATATTTCCCCATTTTCCCAGAACATACCCATTTTCTGTCTTTATGCTTCTGTAATAAATCATAGTGCCCCCTTTCCCTCCCACAGTTGTCTTTATTTTGATGACAAATGGTCATTCTGCAAAAGTGAGAGTTGCTCAGTTGTGTCCCCATGGACTGTAGTCCTTCATGATCCTCTGTTCATGGAATTCTCCAGGCAGGAATACTGGAATGGGTAGTTGTTCCCATCTCCAGGGGATCTTCCCAACCCAGGGATCGAACCTGGGTATCCTGCATTGCAGGTGGATTCTTTTCCAGCTGAGCTACAAGGAAAGCCCACTCTATAAGAAGGTACACTTAAAGCATACAGTCATGAAAGGCTGAGAGTTAAAGGATGTAAAAGTTATATTAGGCCAACAGTAATCAAAAGAAATATAACTTAGCTATACTATTACAAAAAAACCCATAAAGTATCATTTAGAATAGAGAGATTCATTATCTAAAGACAAAAGATTCAGTATACCAAAAAATAAATATATATGAACCCAATAAATGTCTTCAAATATATAAAACAATAATGAGTATAACTCACAGGAGAAACTGACAGCTCCAATATCATATGGAGAAATTTTAATGTACCTTTTTCAAGGGGTCAAAAACTTGGCAAAAAAAAAAGAAACAAAAAAACTTGGCAAAGACATAGATTAATAATATAACAAGCTTAAACTAATGATCATTTATACAATTCTTCATCTAACAACTAGAGAATACATATTTTTCTCAAGCCTACTCAGAGCATTTGCAAAACTTGATCATGCACTAGGCAATAAAGCAAGCCTCGACAGATTTCAAAAAATCAGTTCAGTCACTCAGTTGTGTCCAACTCTTTGTGACCCCATGGACTGCAGCATGACAGGCTTCCCTGTCCATCACCAATTCGTGGAGCTTGCCCAAACTCATGTGCATCAAGTCGGTGATGCCATCCAACCATCTCATCCTCTGTCGTCCCCTTCTCCTCCTGCCCTCAATCGTTCGCAGCATCAAGGTATTTTCCAATGAGTCAGTTCTTTGCATCAGGTGGCCAAAGTATTGGAGTTTCAGCTTCAGCATCAGTCCTTCCAATGAATATTCAGGACTGATTTCCTTTAGGATGGACTGGTTGGATCT